CCACAGCCAACAGTATTAAAGCGTCAGCAAGACAGGCAAGTGAGGGACATCTGTGTTCTCACCGTGGCTCTGCATTTTGCTGTCTGTGTGACCTTGTACAAGTTCATAAGAAACTGTGGATAAAATGGTCACAGTAATAAGAGTTCCCACCTCAGAAGGTTTTGTGGGATTAATGAAAAGAGATAACTCATGGAAATTATGATAGCTAATATCCACTGTGTTCCCCATGTAGCAAAACTTATGGCCATATGGACGACTCAGTAATAAAAAGGATACAAAGGGAACAGCTTGGATGGAGGTCAAGGGTATTGTGCTGTGAAAAAACTCAATGCCAAGAGATCCTATACTATATAACTCCACTTAGGTAACACTCTCATAGTGACACATGTATAGAGCCAGAGAACAGATCAGTGATTGTCAGGGATTGCAGATGGTGTGATGGACCAGATCTGCATTTTTATGGTGGTGATCATGTATGACTCCATGTATGTGATAAAATTTTGTAGAAATGTACAAACAGACACACAAACAAGTGCATGTAAAACTGGTTAGGTCTTAATAAGGCCTGTGGATTTCTGTGATGTCAATATTCTGGTTTTGATATTGTACTACATTTGTGAGGATGCAGAGAGGGGGAAAGGCACACAGGAACTCCTGGAACTACTTTGGTACCTTCATGGGAATCTATGATTACTTCTAAGTGAAAAGTTAAATCAGTAAAGGCCGCTTGGAGAATCTGACAAGCAAACATCTGCAGAGGGTCCTGGTGCTCTGGGCTTTCTCTTATCTCGATAGAAGCAGGAGGAGAAGATGAGCGATGTATCTTATGACCCTTTCTTACTACAGACCTTTCAGGCCCATGTTACTCTTTATTCTGAAAATGACCAGTCTCCTCAAAAAGGGAATATGGGGTAGTTGGGATTCAAACACATCTTTTTCCTTGTTGTCCACTTTATGTGACTGCTGAGAAACAGCCCATCTGTGGGATACACCGTTGCTCCCCCAGTCACTGGCTCTCACCCTTTCTCAACATCGGTTCAGTGAAGACATGAGCTACAGGACAGTCTGGTGTGGAATAGTTGGACATCTTGTTCTCTTTCATGGCCGAGAAGGAACTGTTTTGCAAGACTGAGTCAATTTCATGTGGCTTCAATTTTTTACCAAGAAATTGACAAATCTTCTCCACACTGCCCCTGAAGTCCTACAGAAAGGAAAGATTGTCAGCAGATAGTGTTTATAAGCACAGGCTATGAAACAGGTGCTTGAATTCTAATCAAAGTCAACTCTTAATATCTGTGGGCTCCTCTGCAAAATCTGATGTCTCATATGCCTCAGTTTTCAGATCTATAAATTGTAGATTGTAAAGGTACCTACCACATAGGTTGGTTAAGCCTACATAATAAATTTCCTTGAAATGCTAACATTTAGCACTAAGTTTGTTCCTTGTTCATATAAAGTCTAGGTGGATTCTGCTAATCACATGAATTTTAATATGACTCTTCATGGTCCTAATCTCCACCCGCTTTGTGGTTCTATCCTTCCTCGCATGTTCACACACCTCTTTCTTCCATTGGTGGATGAAGAAAAATATCACAGAAAAGAAGCACCCCTTCTTAACTGGCCAACACTTAAGTGCACATATAGTAGCAACATTCATCGGGCATCAGGAAGATGGGAAAGGGGAGGAAGGGATGGGTATATTCACACTTAATGTGTGCAGTGTGCACCGTCTGGGGGGTGGACACACTTGAAGTTCTGAGTCCATTGGGTAAAGGCAGTATATGGATCCTAAACATTTGTACCCCTGTAATATGCTGAAATAAAATAAATCAATCAATCAATAAATAAGAATTAAAGTAAAATCAATAAAATATCTTGAATCAAGGAAGGAAGGAAGGAAGGAAGGAAGGAAGGCAAGAGAGGCAAACTTTCCTGTATCAATTCCACTCTGAAGCAACACCGCCTTTTCCTTGGCAAAAACAAGCCACTTTCCCCATCCAGAAGCAAAGGGGCCTGAAAAACAGGGTTCCTACATGGGCAGCCACTTACGAGAAACAGCTCTTCTTTATAAAAGGGAACCTGAAACTTCAGTGGTCCCTGGATTAAAGACGAGTTAACAGAAGTACATTTGGAATAGAGAAAGGCTTTGATGAAATTGGCTATTGTTATTGGTACCAGAATGGTTGCCTATAACACAAAGTCTACAGTGGTTAGATTCCTATAGGCCATATCCCTCTTCGAGGCCTCCTCTCATGGGAACTCTGACTAGAGGGCTTTAACAGGGAACAATGTCTGAGAGTTGAAGTGACATGACTCGTCCCTAGACTGGTAGTCCCATAGCCCATCCAACTGCCATATGGCTCCCAAGTTGGAGACAAACATAGGAGCTTTCATGGAGCATGTTGATGAGATGTAGGAGTTATCAGGTGGGAATATCTTTGTATGTAAATCACAATTTCCATGTAATAGCACATCTGTGCTTCTTGGAGATTGTGCATAAACCAAAGAGACAAGGATAAGATGTGCCAGGCTGCCATTCTGACCAAACGCCTTAAGAGTGTCTTATCCTGAAAACAGGGACATATTTGAAAGGAACATAGGTCTGTAATGATGTCATAGCTAACACACACACACACGATGGCAGACACTATTCTCAATACTGTTCAGTGTATTCTCACGGTTCAGAAAGGTTCCGCTGTTATCCAGGTTTAGGGCTGGGACGCTGAGGCGCGGAGTGGGTAAGAACTTGCTGAGGTTGCCCAGTCAGTGGCAGGAAGCCTGGCTCAGAGGGTCAAGGTCTTGCCCACCACACTGCACTGCCTCTCAGGAATGTCTCTACCCAGAGGAATAGAAAGGGATCTAGGAAAGAGAGGACAGTATGGCTAACACTAGGAGGGAAAGGAAAAGAGAATTACCTTTTGCAGCTCCTCATAGAAAATCAGTAGGAAGGACCCCATTTCTCTCCTCTTTATCCATCCAAGAACATGATCGAACCAGGATCCGTAAACAACTGCAGTAATAGGCACAAAAGACAAAAGCTAATTATTCCTCTCAAATTCATATTCCTTGAATATTTATTGCCATTCGTAAGTGAAAGTTCATGTTTATTTTGTGGAATATGTAAAAGGAATAAGGCCAAACCTCTTTCTCTAGAAGTTTACCGTAAAATGATTAAATAAATCAGCAAATCTGAGATGCATTA